ATTCCTGCTATCACCTTTCTGCTCCCTACTGAAAACTAGCAGATGAAATTATCTTTTCATACCAGACCTTATCTTTGAATTCATGCACTAGCTTCTTATGCATCAGACTCAAGCTTTCAAGACTCTCCAATATGGTTTCAACTTGAAACTCAATTTTTCTTCATTATCACTGCCTTGAAGCTAGATTTCTTTTACTGTTATGTCACCTTATTTCATTTTCCAGAAATGCCTTCTGAGTTTGATCTAATCTCAACACTTTCCCTCCATCACCATACGGGTCCTCTTGAATGAGCAGCTGAGAGACAGAAAACGCAAAATGAGATATCGCACCTCTGCTTCTGTACCACATCTGAATTTTAGTAGTTCTTTGAGTTAGGGAAACCTGTATGGCACTCTGTGTAGCTTGAGAACATGCTTTAAAAAAGAAGGGTGGCCTCTCCCCCACTAAATACCCGCAGGTTAATTTTAACAACATTGAAGCTCTCAGTTTCCAAAGTTCTATATGGCTCCTAGATCCTCTAACTGCCTTGGCAGAAAAACCTGTTTCACAGCACTGCTGAGCATCTGGAAAACTCTTTTGAAAGGAATGGTCTGGTTAAGGTCAGTGAGTTTGAAAGTGTGATCATTTGCTCTACCTACATGCAAAGGCCCAGAAACTCAAGATCAGATTTTTTTTTCATGAGTATTGATTGCAGAGTTTAAATCAAACTAATTGTCTAAATGAACATTTCATACACTACCTGAAAGGCGATTAACTCCAGCCAGTCCTGCTGAGCTTGCAATACTAACCAGGTGTCCATGGTTAGAGGCCATCATTGCTGGGAGGAAGGCTTTGTAAGTCTGCAATGTAAGTCAGAGTTGCAATGAAACATTTTACTAAGCTACATGCTATAATATTTTGAAGGTGGTGGTGTTAAAGAAATTCTCCCTACAGTTGACATAAGTTTCCCTGCTTCCATTATGGAAGAGAAGGGGGGGGGGAAACCCACACCCCACAAAAGAAAAAAAAAGAAAAGAAAAGAGTTTGTTGTTTGAACTCCAGCTTTCAACTACTAAATTGGGACTTTCCAGGCCCCATCAGTACCACTTTCTCCTCAAAGACAGATGCTAATTTGCTGCAAGCTAAAGATACAGCTTCAGCTAGTTAAGTTTTTTGGCCTAAAGCTCAGCACTGCAATGTTTCAAATGAGAATTAAGTGCTCACTGCAAATTTTGTAAAATGGCAGAAATTTGAATTTCATGTCTTTCTTCTATTAAATTAATCTGTGATTAAATTTATTTATGAAGAAACTGGAGCATGTTTTAATATCCCCTTTGCAATTCTTTATGCTAGGAACACCATATAGATGGCCTGCCTTCCCTCGAAGGAAGAAAAAGCCCATTAAGTTACTCATTTTGGAAAAAAGCCCCACACTAACAGAATTGAACACTTCTCTGTTACTAGAGCAGCAACATTTAGGCTGGGCCTGCTTCATGCCAATTAATATTGAGGTATTATAACACATGATTAGCTTCAGAATTTCACGAATGGTAAACTTCAGTTCTTAAGACTTATTTCTAAATACAAAGCAGTTTTGCTTCCACTTACCTACCCCAGAAGTTCCTAAAGGATCCATTCTTCCACCCTTTTATTTTACAGACTCCCAGGCATAGAAAATAATTTCTTGAATAATTTCTGACTGATCTTACAAGGAGCTATATATCCTTCCACATTTTCCTCAATTCCAAAAGGCAAAATTAACACTGAAAATATGTTAAAAGGATGTTTTAGTATGTATATATAAAGTATAGGTACTACCCAGAAGTGTGCCATTGTGTTCACTTCCATGGTTTTTTCCACAAGTGAATCTGGACAATCAAGAAATCTCTTCCCAGTTACAACAGCAGCATTGTTGACTAGGATGCTAACATCGCCAACTTCTTTTTTAACCTAAAACAAAAAGTATCAAGATATTACACAATAAATACAAAACATACTTTTCCACTTTTATATATGAAAACATAATAGAAATATTGCACATTTCAATTAAGTTGAACTTATTACGCTTGTTGTGGATCCAAACACCTCAGGTTCTTGCACATTCTCACCTGATGCCTTTTTAGAGCTCAGCTTACAACTGGACTTTCTCTGGAGGTGTGGAGCCCAACAGTTTCCACACAGGCTTCTGCTTCCAGCACCTCTGGTTGACTGCTCCAGGTAAGTCTCTATTGCTTAGAGACAGCTTAACTACAGTAAACCCATCTTAAAACTAACGAGCAAGTCTGTTTGTAGGGCCATTTCTATGCCGTGCAGTGAGGTACAGTACATAGGTCCTCAGGCGAGTTCACCAGAATCAGGTACATCAAATCTACACAAGTGCTGCAGTACCCAAGCTTCCAGTTGTGAGGTTCCTTGCGTTATACTCAAATCCTCCCACATTTTCCACAGATTAACTTGAACAGAAAAGCAGTGCTGCCATACAACTCGATGGCTTAAGCCAGCTTGCACAGTTCTTGAGTCTTCTGATGAGCAGAAGGAAAAGTGGATTCCCAGTTGGTAGCATTAGTTGCCTGTATCCCAACAGCCCACGGATTCATCTCTCCCACTGCACAGGGCAGCAGCTACTTAACAGCATCTTAATATTTCATATGCCTGATTGTTAAACACTGACATGTATTACACAGTAGTTTTTCACTAGTGTTAACTTCACTCGCATTCCACAGCGCACACATTAAGCCAGACTTCCCTACAGCTTTCTGGGGGAGCAGAAGCACACATTAAGCCAGACTTCCCTACAGCTTTTTTGGGGAGCAGATGGAGTTTTCTGCCCTCAGTGTGGTGGAATGAGAATGGGTAAACAGTCATTTCTGATAAGAAGCATTCCTCTATGAATAGGCAGTAGCCCTCAGTGTGGTGGAATGAGAATGGGTAAAAAGTCATTTCTGATAAGAAGCATTCCTCTATGCATAGGCAGTGAGAAAGACCACCTGTAAAATTAGTTTTCTCCTTACAACGTTTTTATTTATTCAAGTATCTTGACTCCTTCAAGCAACTTTACAGCTCAGGAACTTAGCTTATATTACCAAACAAAAAAGGGTTGTTACAAGTTTATTTCTCATGAAAACAGGCTGAAAGAACACCGTGTCTCCATTGACATTAGCTCTCAGGGCAACACAAGAAGAGAGAAAACCATTAGGAAGGGTAGCAGTCTGTTATGAAAATTAAACAAAAGCTATAAGGTTCTGAATAAAGGAAGATTTTAGGATATGTGCATTCACAGAAGGCAAAAGTCTTATGAGCTTCTGCAGCTCATGGTGTATAAGCTTGTTTCTAGTTTATTTGCTTCAATTCTACTGCTGTACCAGAATCCTTATAAGATGGTTCTCAGAAAATAAGTTGGCTAAAGACTAGTATCTACACATTTAGTTCAGTAAGAGGAAGTATAGTTCTCATTTTAGCTCCAGACTGAGAACTTTCATGAACAGGCTCACTAGAGAGAGCAATCAGAGGCCAGCTCTCAAAAGGAGAATGAAAATATTGAATGTAGTATTCGAAGTACAGTTTGTTAATCTGAGCTATCTGGGGAAAAGGAAATAAGTAGTCTATGCTTTTTAATTTATGATTTCCAGATCAAGAGCTAAACATGTACTGATCAGTATCTTTGGGAAACCATGTTGGTTTTATACCATCTTGCCATACAGTTGCAGATCACAGAACCTCATTTCTTAATGGCGCTTCCTTTATGAGGTGCCTACAGTGACTAAAGAAAGCACAAGCAGACCAGGTAGGCTAGCCTGTGTAACAGTAAAGAATTAAAGGATAATTTACCACCTATCCTTTATTCTAGCTTAACTTCCTCATCTTCCTTAAACATGTTCCAATCTTGTCCACGCTTGTTAACTAAGTGTTTAAAAAACAGAAAGCAGCCTTGTTAGGATTATACAGAACAGCTTTTATAATAAATTCATCAGCCAGAGCCCCTCTCCACCTTAGTTATTGCTCACACATTCTTGTCTGTCTATTCCCCTCCTCAAGAGTTGTCACGTAACAATTTAAGTATTTCTGAAGCAGCGCCGCATGATCTCCATAGGCAGCCTTAGACAAGTTGTCACGTAACAATTTAAGTATTTCTGAAGCAGTGCCGCATGATCTCCATAGGCAGCCTTAGAGAAGTCGTTCTAGTCACCAACCTGAGTATGTACTTCTCATCACAAGCTAAAAAATAGCATGTATTCAAACAAATAATTCCAGCTTCACAACACCTCTGTTCATGCTGCTACTCTACTAACTAGATGTGGCAGCTCTGTCCTCAGCAAATTGGCTGGTTTAATTCCCTTCTCTCAGCTCTCCCTTGTGCACAACAGAGCCAAGACACTTAGTGCCAGGCTTTCACACTCCCAGTACAGAAGACCTTTACCAAGCCTTTTCACTAGCTATTGTGGGGTGAGATAATGTCAACTTTCCAGAGCTCTAAAGCTCCTCCCAGTACAGAAGACCTTTACCAAGCCTTTCAACTAGCTATTGTGGGGTGGGATAATGTCAACTTTCCAAAGCTCTAAAGCTGCCCACTTGTGCAGTGCAGGAAAGCCTCTTCCAGGTCTTTGTTTTAGGCCTAGGTAACACAACCATTATGCAAACAGCTGATCTAGATAAACATTTTTTTCACATGTAAACACTATTTCCTGTTTGTTCCTGCATTTATATTTATGCTTTTATATTGAAGTTTAGTAGTGAGAAATTCCCAGGGTTCCCCAACAGCATCCCAAAGCATCTGCTTTCTAAGAACCACAAACCCCTCCGTAACTGCCTGCAAGAGGTGGAATAAAGCACTGAATGTTTTACAGTCAGCATGAAATACCACCAAGAAGTGTGCTTCTACTGTTGCTCCTCTGCACTGGAAAGATGATTCTCAGAAAAGTAGAGAGTGTAAACTGTCATCTTGACTAACAAGTGGATAAACAAAAACGCACCATGTAAGAGAGATCCTAGAAGTAAGTGTGAGTCCAGATGCAACTTTGCAACATGATAATGAGGAACAGGCTTCTGTTTCCTTACAAGTAGGAGGATCAAAAGACAGAGTTACTTCCCTCTTTCAAAGCTCTAGCTTCAAGTTTAGCTGAACTCAAGGGAGGGAGGGGTAGATCAGAGAAGGCCACATTCCTTTTGGGGTACAGGGACATTAGAAACAAGTTGCAAGCTATAGCTCTTGATAGACAAAAGCTGTCCTTCATCCTGTTGGTACAGGAAAAGAACAAGGACACCACACGTGCAGGGCTTTCTTGTTTTCTTCCTACTGGAGTGACTTTTTCCTGGTCTCTCTGTGGCTGATCAAGTACCAGAAGCAGGTATAAGGTTCACATACATTTCATTTTGGCTTTGAGACTGTTTTAATGGGCACAAATTTTCAACCATATCCTGCCCTGCCTGCATGAATTTTGTTTGCTATAGTCTTGCAAGACTCCGAGTTATTGCATGAAGCTGAATCACCCGGGGTAGAAACAAAACCTGGAACCATGCTGCCTCATTTTGCAAAGGCCGATGGCACACACTATGAGCCAAAGTCTACTACACCACATCAGTTAGTGTGTGGTGCCACTGTTTACCTGAAGTCTTTTTGCCACTAATAAGATGGGAAAATTGTCAGCATGATTCTACATCAGTTGTCAGCAGGACATGACACTTCTGAAATAACAGTAGTAAGGTATTTTCTTCTATATGAATCAACAGGAGGACTATTAGTGGGTCAGCTGTTAGCGAACTGCTGACAGAAGATTATAAGCAATGAATCATGCACTGAGACCCTCTTACCACTTCTTCGCTCCTGTCTACCTATGCTTTTATCATTCCTAACCTGTCACACACATATCCACACCCTCTTCTCCTTTTTATACTTGGCCAGAAAGTCTCTGCTACTGCTTTTCTCCACAGGACTGAAGTGCTAGCCCTTGAGTCCTCAAAACTGAAAGTTAGTTTCCATCTTCATTTCCAGTGTCCTTCACACTACAATACTC